GTTTCTTGACTGCTGGGTTCTCTACTGTTGCTAATTGATCTTAAAAGACAAGCTATCCATCACTTTAGTATAGATAGTCCTCATTTATTGACCACATTTGGGGCGTAAATCCTCCAAAGCACCTGAAGGCAGGACAAGAAGCAATGACTGGAAACTAATCAAGGAGAGAACCAACTTAGGACTAAGGAAAAATTTCCTGGCAGTTAGAACAATTAATCAGTGGAACAACCTGCCTCCAGAAGTTGTGGGTGCTCCAACACTGGAAGTTTTAAAGAAGAGATTGGATAACCATTTATCTAAAATCGTATAGGGTTTTCTGCTTGAGCAGGGAGTTGAACTAGAAGACCTCCAAGGTCCCTTCCAACTCCGTTATTCTGTAAAGCAAAGTGGTCACTAAGTAAAACCACAATTGTGCTTTTCCTTCAGCATTGGTCACAAAGTTACTTTTTCATCACCATCGTAATTGAATGTGAAACAGGCTGTCACTATACAAGTCTGTTTGTGTCTTCATTTCCAATTCTAAGACTGGTTGTACCTATTGTCATTCGTTTTGTGTCTCATTTTAGTTTTAGTTTTTTTGCTCTATTATTACCAGAGCTTAGAGATTCTTTGCATTTTTGGCTATCAGTAGTATCATCAGCAGTGCATATATAATTGATACTTATTTCTCCAGTTTTAAAACCATGCTCATCTTTTTTCAACCCACTTTCTTTTAATATATATTCAACATATAAGTTGAATAAAATAAGAATATACAGGCTTGCCACACTCCTTTGGCAATCTGGAGCCAGTCTCATGTGAACAACCTAATCAAAGCCCTTTCTGTAATTAATGAAGCACACAGAGACTTCCTTTTGGTTTTCTTTGGCTTTCTCAGTTATCCAGGGTATATCATCAATAATGCCTTATGTTCCTTAACTTTTTCTAAAGCTGGCTTGTCATCTTCTTTTCCCAGTAGGTCTGTAATCTTCATAATCTTCATTTTGTTAATGTGAAAGTAAGGATATTGTATGATTTTATTAATCAGATTTATATGACTGTCTATCTTGCAAGAAGTGACTCTGAGCAGCATACAACAATCAGTAGAAAGAATAAATATACAATAATAATAAAAATAGTCATTATTAAAATTGTTTGAAAAAACCTAAGAAATGTAAAACATACAAACCACATGGAGAGATTAAAAAAATCAACCTAAGAATATTTCCAGTTTCCTGGAATCCCCAGATTTGCTGGCACAACCAGGTCTTGAGGGATTTCCAGAATGATAGACCTAATCTGAATTAGGGGGAGGATGTTCCATAGCAGATGAGGCCTGCCCTCCGGGATCTACCAAAAACGGTCCCCTGGTAGATGGTGCCCACAGTATGCCTTCTCTGCCAGATCTAATGAGATGGGCTGATGTAATCAGGAGAGATGATCCATGGGATCCAGATCACCTGGTCCCATGCCATAAAGGACTTTAAAAGTTAAAACCAGCACTTTGAATTGGACCCAGAAGCAAACTGGCAGTTAATGCAGCTCTTAGTATGGAGATGTAATATATGTTCTATTAGGAACTGCCTGCAATGCTGCATTCTAAATCAATTGAAGCTGCCTGATAATTCTTAAAGAGACCACATTACAGTAGTCCAGTAAGAATGATAGTTTGCATACTCTTTTCACATCAAATTACATTGAGTACCAAATTCAATGAGTTTCAAATCAGTTGAGTGCCAAGTTTTCCCTTTATGGGTTTTATTTATCAATATTTACCATATTAAAAATTAAAATGAATAAATCTACTGCCATTTGCAGATCTTGCAATACTGCTGCTTATCTCTTCTGAAAGCTCTCTGAAAGTTACTTGTTAAACTCCTTACTGAGGTTTTTGTCTTGGCTTTGGCTTCTCTTTTAGTAATTTTCACTGTTTGTTCTGACTTCCAGTTTGCTTTCTTTGTTTTTGGCAGTCTCTTTCTACTCTCATCCTCAGTTTTTTAAACTACATTTCATTTAGTTACAATTCCTCAGTTCTTTATTAGTGACATCCAGGACTTCAGTCTGATTCCTGATGTTCTCCTTGAAAGTGATGGATATATGCTCAAGATCATATTGTGGAAAGTGGTTAGCTTTTTTATTCTGTTTAGCTTGAGCAGTTCATGATCTGCTACGTAAAGTCAGTTTTTTTCATTCCCTCTGGTGTTTTTTGGCATAAGTAATGTTATACAGAGTACAGAAAAGGAATTAAAAATATTAAGCCAAATACATTGAAAGCATAACATAAAAAGGGAAATATGGTTTACACCAACATTATTTGTTGCATCATGTCATAACTTTATATTCTGACAAACTATTTTTGCTCCCACCCCTTTCCTATATATTTCATACATTGCCTTTTGTTCTTTAAAATTCTTGTCTCTTTTTGGGGATCTTACCAACACTGTTTAATGGCAATTTTCAATCTTTATTCACTCCTTTTGCATAATGAAACCATTGCATTTTACTTCTTTCATAGTATTCATTCACTTCTGTATTCAATCTATATTAATGTAGCACCCATTCCTTGTCTATGGAGATTCTCAATCATCCAAGTCATGATTGTCTCAAAGGTACTTTTCGGAAGGCAATTGGACTTTCTTGGGATTCCCCCCCCCCCTTGAAAGCATTTTACTTTTCATCCAAGAGAACTGAAAAAGCTTCTTGGGTGAGAAGCGAAATGTTTTCAAGAGAAAAAAATCAAGAAAGTCCAGTTGCCTTTTGAAAAGCATCTTTGGGGTGCCCTTTCCTTATTTAACACATGCACTTGAATACTGCATTCCCACTGGGTTCAACTTCTCATGACATGGCTATTTGTTCCATGTAAC